AAATTGAAACAAACCGCGATGTGTGTTAATTGTCAGAAGTTCTTCGGAGTCATCAGAGACTTCTATCTGAAGATAAGCATCAGCAAGATCCTGTTTTGCGAAACATCTTCCACCATTGAGCTTGGTGAACAAATCTTCTGGTACCGGCAATGGATATTGGTGAGAGTCTAACACGGCGTTTAATCCAGTGGAATAGTCAGCACATATGCGCACCTTGTCATTTGTTTTTTCGATGACAACCAAGGGAGCTGCCCATGATGAATGGTTTACTGGCTGGATAACTCTGGATTGCTGAAGGTGAACAAGTTCACTCTCCACAGTTGCGAGAGCAGCAAATGGCACGGGACGCTTCGGTCTGAAAATTGGTGTGGAAGCAGGTTGGAATCTGGGGCTCGCCTTGGTTTTGGTACAGCATCCAAGGCCACTTTGGAAGACATAGTTGAATTTTGTCTTCAGTGTGTTAGTAAAGCGTTCTGCAATGTCTGAGGAGGATGATAATTTCAGGGTACTGCACACAGATGATAAAGGTATTCGGAAAAGGCCAAGTTTCTCGATCCAATTGAGTCCGAGTATGTTTAATTTCGGACAATCGGTGAGATAGCACGTTACTAAGAAGTGCTTATTGTTGAATAACACATCACAAGACAACTTGCCTGTTAGTTTTAAAGTGCTGCCAGAGGCGCTTTTGGCCCGATGGTTCGTGCAGGATGAAACAGGTTTCCCAATTGATTCCCAAACTGAACGTGATATTAATGTAATATCTGAAGCTGTGTCAAGCTGCAAATGGATCGGGAAATTGTTGATGTGAACTGTTTTGTATTTCCTGCGGGATTCAAATTCAGCTTGAAATGTAGCAAACAGAGAATTGGATTGTATTCGTTGTTTGTACGTCCGCCTTTTGATTGAGTCTTTCGTCGGACTGTTATCATTCTTTGGGTTTAATGGTGATTTGGCATTGTGGGTACGGCAAAAGCCTTCTTTATGGCCCCAACGATGGCATACTTGGTACTGATGTTTCTTGAATGGGCAAAAACGTGGATAATGTCATTCACCACATGACCAACATGATGTTGATGGTTTTTTTCCAGGAGTGACAGCGGTTCGTTTCAATG